CTCTTCTTCTCTCTCTCTCTCTTCTTCTCTCTCTTCTCTCTCTCTCTCTCTCTCTCTCTCTCTCTCTCTCTCTCTATGATGATGATGATGATGATGATGATGATGATGATGATGATGATGACATCATTCGACCTGAACATACAGACAACGGAACAGACAATACCTGAAACATTTTTTCCCCATGTTATTTTATTCCTCTCTCGCGACGACCTTTTGTCTCCTCCGCCGCCACCACACGAGTCGAGGTAGAAAGGAGGGGGAGGAAAGGGGGGAGTCAGGGGGAGGGGGAGACGCCTGTTTTGTGCGCTTGTTTTGAACGAAAAGGTGGCATGTGGCGGGCCGCCGGCGGGGCCAGGGCCAGGCAGTGATTAAGCTGGCGGTAGCGCGAATAGATAACACACAGATTAGCCTAATGACATCGTCAAACATCGTGAAATATTAAATCGTGATGATTTTTTACGGTGCGCCCTTTCTCTCGCGGTCTCTCTTTCTCTCTCTCTGCGTGTTTTGTATTCTGTCTACTTCTGCTCTCGTCGATTCTCCTCCATCTCGCGTCTCTGGCTCTGGCTGCTCTGTGGCTCTCATTCTCTTTGCTGCTTTCTCTCTTTCTCTGACTGCCCGCCCGCCCCGCCTGCTCTGTCTCGTCTCGCTCTCTGTTCCCTCGTTGCTCTCGTTCTCTCGTCTCTTCTGCTTCGTCGTCTCGTTTCTCGATCCTCTCTTCTCTCTCTCTGTCCTCCTCTCTGCTTAATTTCCCTCTAGCTTCTCCGTTCTCGTCTGCTTCTCGTCTGCTCTCCGTCTTGTGCGTCGTCTCTGCTGTCTCATCTCGTCTGTCGGCTGCTCTCTGTCGTCCGTCTCGTCGTGTCTGTCGCTGTGTGCTGGTCTCGTGCTTCTCGCCTTCTGTTGTCTACCGCTCGTCTCTAATGTCTTGTCTCTGCTCGTGTCCTCGTCAATTTCCTCTCGTCGTTTGGTTTCTGCTCTGTTTCTGTCTATTATGCTTCGTTTCTCTCTAAACGCTCTAATCTTCTGCCTCTCTCTCCGCGTTACTGCTCTCCTCTGCCGCCTCCTGTCTCTTTCTCTCGCTCTCTTTCCGCTCTTCTCTCTCGCTCGTCCTCTCCTCTCCTCCTCTCTCTCTCTCTCTCCTCGCCTCTCTCTCGCTTTCTGACGCGCTCTGCTCTCCTCCGTGCATCTTGCTCATTCGTCTTCTGCGTCTCTCTGCTCGTCTCCCCCCTCTCTTCTCTCGTCGTCCCCCCTCCCCTCTCTCTCTCCCTCCCCCTGCTCGCTCATCTCCTGCCTCGTCTCTCTCCATCCCTCGGTCCTGCTCTGCTCGTCTCTCCCTCTCTCTCTCGTTCTTTCGTTCTCTCTCTCTCGTTCGTCTCTCGTCTTCTCTCTCTTCTCTCTGCCCTGCTCTCGCTCTCGTCCTCTTTGGCTGCCGAACTTGAGTGGTCTTTTATTTTTCGGAATTAACTCACAACAATGATGGTCGAAAGGACAAAGCCGGATGTTTAGGCGAGTCTGGCTACCTCCTCCCCGCTCGCCGCTCCGGCTGCCCCGCGCTCGGGTCCGCCTCAACTCTCGCCTCGCGCCTCGACG